ATTGTGATGATTGTATTTAGAATTTTATTTTTATTTTATTTTGATTATTAAGTAATAAAAATATAATAATTTCACGGTGCTTGGGAACCAACTTTAAATGAAAAGTTTATTTACTAGACTTTTTTTCGGTCAAAGTATTTCTGAAGGACTATAGATTGGCGCAATATATTTTTTAAAATCGGTTCCAGCAGCCGTTTTTGAGAAAACTCGATTTTTCATGAAAAAGTGACCTTTTTTTTACTTTTTTGCTTGTAACTTGCGCATTTTACATTTTCTCAACTTGCCAAAAGTAAATTTCAATGGGAAAATGTTCGCTCTACAAAAAAGTATCAATAACTTTTTTCTCTAAAATCAGCCGATTTTGAGTTAAATGAGACACGGTGCTTGGGAACCAACTTTAAATGAAAAGCCTATTTACTAGATTTTTTTTCGGTCAAAGTATTTCTGAAGGGCTATAGATTGGCGCAATATATGTTTTAAAATCGGTTCCAGCAGCCGTTTTTGAGAAAACTCGATTATTAATGAAAAAGTGATCTTTTTTTTTTACTTTTTTGTTTGTAACTTGCGCATTTCACATTTTCTCGGCTTGCCAAAAGTAAATTTCAATAGGAAAATGTCCGCTCTACAAAAAAGCACCAATGACTTTTTCTCTAAAATCAGCCGATTTGAGATCTCATTTAACTCAAAATCGGCTGATTTTAGAAATAAAATTCATTGATGCTTTTTTGTAGAGCAGACATTTTCCCATTGAAATTTACTTTTGGCAAGCCGAGAAAATGTAAAATGCGCAAGTTACAAGCAAAAAAGTAAAAAAAAGGTCACTGTTTCATTAAAAATCGAGTTTTCTCAAAAACGGCTGCTGAAATCGATTTTAAAAAATATATTGCGCCAATCTATAGCCCTTCAGAAATACTTTGACCGAAAAAAAAGTCTAGTAAATAAACTTTTCATTTAAAGTTGGTTCCCAAGCACAGTGATTTATACTCTCTTTTGATTTATATTTGGAGGTTTTTAGGTATGGGGAGGGTCGCTCAGACATTTAGTGCCTAGGGTCGCCTCGGCACCTAAATCCACCACTGGGTCTATCCAGGGTAAGTAGTGCTTGTCGACTATCTTCATAAATGAGCATGGTTCGTAACACGAATACTTTTTTAAGTATTCGAATACCGCTCTCGACTCCTAATAAAAGAGTGTTAAAAATTGATTCAAATCCTCTCCAACTGTGGTGGAGCATCTCCAAATGGTAATATTTTTCTCCGAATATCTGCTGTAATCGGTATCAATTCCGATCTGTTTAAATTTCTTAGAAATAATTTTGCATTTAATTAATAATGTTAGATTGAAATGTTTTTGTCTAAAATAAAAAATTAGATAAATAAATTTACCAAAGTTAATTAAAAGGCTAATTATATTTACGATCGTAATCGGAACACTTTGCTAAGCTTGCTTATCACACCTCTGTGTATTTACTTAATTAATGACATCTTAGTTTTAATTACCTAATAAAAGCATGAGTTAGAACAACCTTAAGTTGAGATGAATCATGTAGGTATGTACGTCCAATTTTTTAGATATCACTACTAGATAAAGATAACAGAGGAAATGCGAAATTATCACAGATTTATTTTTTAATTTTTTACTTCAGTGTCTAAACGTTACGTAAGAGGGCGCCTGCTTTCTGGTGAAGTGAAATTCTGTTTTAATCAAAATGTAAAAAGTGTAGTTCAATGTTACATAAACTCTTTAAGCATATTCTTTCTTTGTCTACTCTCCCTATGGGTTCAAAGTAAGTCATACTCTTATTAGTACAATTATATTATCTTTATAGATACGAGATTATGCTGATTTTGTTTAAAAACAATGTAAGAGGAATTTTTCCACTTGAGTTTCCCCCATTACAGTCTAGAGTGGGGAAGAGCCAAAGTGATGACTGATTAATAGATCAATACATTTTTATTTTGTTAAAAATTATTTAGATTGCTCACACTAGGTTAAAACACAAGGAATATGTAGATGCTTTGGCCAAAAAAGGCTCTCTAACCAGGTTCTATTACCTCATACACTTTATCTGTTTCTAATGTAACTGCAATATTAAAAAGAAATCAGTTGAATAAATGGCAACACTTGTGGCAGGAATATTGTTTTACAAATTCAACGAGGTATACTACTCTTCAGATAGAAATTCCTAAGATCCCTTGGTACAAGCATTATAAAACACCGCGAAAGTACAAATGGACAATCATTAGGATAAGATTTGGCCACACCTGTTATCCTAGCCATTTCTACAAAAATTAAAGTCTGTGAAAGTGACCAATGCGAGACGAGTAATAAAAAAGGAGATCTAGACCATATCTTCTTTAATTGGACTAAAAACAAAAAATTATCTGACAAGCTACATAACGACCTGCTTAAATGCAAAATATACTCCCCTTGGAATATCCAAAGTTTATTTTCCTCAATTTCCACAAATATTTATGAATGCTTGATTAAATGTTTACTGGAATCAAGTAGACGCTTGTGATTATTACTTGTCTTAGACTCGTTACCTTTGTTTTCTTTCCTATTTTTTTATTTTACCCCCTTACCGTAGACCTAGTGTATGTCTTGATGGGTCCCTAGGCGAGAAACGAGTGTCCAGGTTAATCCTCCTGTTATTTAAAATTAAATATTTAATGTATTTTCTTTTTCCTTCATTATGTGTTTAGTGATGGATTTTGTTAATAATGCTTTTGTAACTGGTTGTATGACGAAGCCTTCTATCTTTTAAAAAGTTGTCAAAATATGCATTTTTTTCATTGATATTAGGAAACAGAAAAATTAAAGGAACTAAAATAAGAGACTAAAGAAAGTAATATTTGAATGATCAAATCTAAGGATGATTATTTCACTGTACGTTTATTATATACAAATTAGTAATCGGAATCTATTAAACTTGTTGGGTGGTCAGTTTCTTTTAATGTTCTTCAAATGTGTTCTATTTCATGTTTCTGGTTGTCTTATTTATTCAGTTTAAACTAATATTTTTTCTTTGGTATTGGTGGGGGTGTCTTTATAGAATGCAGTGGCAGCTTGTAACAAAATATTAAGAGTTCACAATGATTAGAGAATATAGATCTCAGTATAGACTTATTTAAAAATACTTCAATGTTTTAGAAAAATATATTATATACACTGAAAGCTTTTTACTTAAATCTTTACTGACATCTATATTCTGTTAATGTGAAGCCCCAATATTTTGGTGACGATTCGCCGCTGTTAGGACGTAATATTTAAACAAAGTTGGCTTTATTTTATGATCGAACATTCTTGCCTTTTTAGAAATAGTTCAGAATAAATCTATAAGTTCTAGTTTAAAACTTTACCCATTCGAAACTGTACTGAAATACGAAGCAAAAAGTAATCTTCCCAATTTGCTTGTAAGTAGATATTTACATTGTAATTTTTAATTTTTGCGTAAATTACTTAATTCTATAATTGGTTGTCCTGATTTATTCTGCCTAATTAATTTCATAGTCCTTTAATTTTTCAATTCAAATTCATAGATGTAGGTAATTAGTAAATATTTTTGACATATATATAGTCACTTAAAATGTATTGTAAAATTAGTTGAGTTTATTGTGAGTTTTAAACAGGGTCTTAGTATATTCGACCGACAGTGCTCTACCACAGAGTATGATGAATTTTGATATAGTATGAACCCTTAAAGGCCTTATTTACCGATATTTAGGGTGGTGTTAAAAATTTTCAATCAAAATTCAAAATATGCCATAAATAAAAAACGTCTTTAAATATTTTTTCAGATTTGATCTACCAAAATGTGTCAAATATAATAAAAAAAATTGACAGAGACACAGACAGAGACACAGACAGAGACACAGACAGAGACACAGACAGAGACACAGACAGAGACACAGACAGAGACACAGACAGAGACACAGACAGAGACACAGACAGAGACACAGACAGAGACACAGACAGAGACACAGACAGAGACACAGACAGAGACACAGACAGAGACACAGACAGAGACACAGACAGAGACACAGACAGAGACACAGACAGAGACACAGACAGAGACACAGACAGAGACACAGACAGAGACACAGACAGAGACACAGACAGAGACACAGACAGAGACACAGACAGAGACACAGACAGAGACACAGACAGAGACACAGACAGAGACACAGACAGAGACACAGACAGAGACACAGACAGAGACACAGACAGAGACACAGACAGAGACACAGACAGAGACACAGACAGAGACACAGACAGAGACACAGACAGAGACACAGACAGAGACACAGACAGAGACACAGACAGAGACACAGACAGAGACACAGACAGAGACACAGACAGAGACACAGACAGAGACACAGACAGAGACACAGACAGAGACACAGACAGAGACACAGACAGAGACACAGACAGAGACACAGACAGAGACACAGACAGAGACACAGACAGAGACACAGACAGAGACACAGACAGAGACACAGACAGAGACACAGACAGAGACACAGACAGAGACACAGACAGAGACACAGACAGAGACACAGACAGACAGAGACACAGACAGAGACACAGACAGAGACACAGACAGAGACACAGACAGAGACACAGACAGAGACACAGACAGAGACACAGACAGAGACACAGACAGAGACACAGACAGAGACACAGACAGAGACACAGACAGAGACACAGACAGAGACACAGACAGAGACACAGACAGAGACACAGACAGAGACACAGACAGAGACACAGACAGAGACACAGACAGAGACACAGACAGAGACACAGACAGAGACACAGACAGAGACACAGACAGAGACACAGACAGAGACACAGACAGAGACACAGACAGAGACACAGACAGAGACACAGACAGAGACACAGACAGAGACACAGACAGAGACACAGACAGAGACACAGACAGAGACACAGACAGAGACACAGACAGAGACACAGACAGGCACAGACAGAGACACAGACAGAGACAGAGACACAGACAGAGACACAGACAGAGACACAGACAGAGACACAGACAGAGACACAGACAGAGACACAGACAGAGACACAGACAGAGACACAGACAGAGACACAGACAGAGACACAGACAGAGACACAGACAGAGACACAGACAGAGACACAGACAGAGACACAGACAGAGACACAGACAGAGACACAGACAGAGACACAGACAGAGACACAGACAGAGACACAGACAGAGACACAGACAGAGACACAGACAGAGACACAGACAGAGACACAGACAGAGACACAGACAGAGACACAGACAGAGACACAGACAGAGACACAGACAGAGACACAGACAGAGACACAGACAGAGACACAGACAGAGACACAGACAGAGACACAGACAGAGACACAGACAGAGACACAGACAGAGACACAGACAGAGACACAGACAGAGACACAGACAGAGACACAGACAGAGACACAGACAGAGACACAGACAGAGACACAGACAGAGACACAGACAGAGACACAGACAGAGACACAGACAGAGACACAGACAGAGACACAGACAGAGACACAGACAGAGACACAGACAGAGACACAGACAGAGACACAGACAGAGACACAGACAGAGACACAGACAGAGACACAGACAGAGACACAGACAGAGACACAGACAGAGACACAGACAGAGACACAGACAGAGACACAGACAGAGACACAGACAGAGACACAGACAGAGACACAGACAGAGACACAGACAGAGACACAGACAGAGACACAGACAGAGACACAGACAGAGACACAGACAGAGACACAGACAGAGACACAGACAGAGATACAGACAGAGACACAGACAGAGACACAGACAGAGACACAGACAGAGACACAGACAGAGACACAGACAGAGACACAGACAGAGACACAGACAGAGACACAGACACAGACAGAGACACAGACAGAGACACAGACAGAGACACAGACATCATCCCGAAAATAGTCAAAACAGGTTCAGGGGACTCCAAAACGTAAAAATCCGTCGAAAACTGGAGGTCGAAAAAAATCATGATTCCTATACTTTCCTTATCTGTATACAGATAGGAAAGTAAAAATGAGTGAATCTTGTGAAGAATATTTATGAATAGATCGCAAATATTAAAACAAAAAAAAATAGGCGACTCAATAGAACTAAAGTAGAGTAGTTGTCATGACAAAGGTCCGAGGTTCAAATCTAGGATTGAACACTTATTAAATTTGTTTTTATTTTTTTTTTTATTTTATGTATTAGTAAAAGTAATAATTATTTTAAATTAGATATTTTATCTTAAACTCAAATTAATTTTTAAAAAATACAGATTTTCGTTAGTGGATCGTAGAAAAATATACTGTACAACTCGAGTAAATCGTCAATAGAATATATTATCACGAATTGAATACCTGCCCCTAAGAAGGTTGTAACCATCAAAAAAATTAATTTTACAGAAAACATTTTCCGAACAAGGCTCTGGATGTTACAACCTTGTAGTGGCCTAGACAACTTTTGTAAGCTAAAATGATCCTTAATAATATGGAGATTTTAAGACAGATTACATTGTTGCTTAAAACTTTTTTCCATACTTAGTAGTGTTTTTGAAATATGGTTGGTTTCAACCTTGTTCGGAACAGGTATTCAATTAATAAAATATGACAGCTTAATAATTTACCGTTACATTATAAAAAAAATGTCAAAACATACTAGATCTTTATAGTCTTAATATACCAAGTATGATTATCAGATATGATGTATGATTATCTATTATTAATCAACTAAAAGTATTGGAAATTATTACATTATGGGGCCTATTCTGTAATGTTTTAGTTAATATTAACCGCCCCGTTAAAAGGTGTATAACTACGACGTTTAAATTTTAACCTAAATATCTACTCCGTATTCCATCAGTTTAATTTTTTATTGGTTATTTTATAAGCAACCCCATTTTACATGTAATTTTAATCAAATAATACAGAATACAAAATTAAAAATAACATCCGGTTATTTTCATGACCTAGGGTTAATTTTAACCAGAATTTTATAAAATATACCCCTTTTGAATACACAGACGAGCGATGATATAACAATTTTTTCAATCCACAATGAAGAACGGGCATGTACTGAGAGATCGGGTGCAAAACGTCAAATTTCATTTCAGTTTTGAAAACGTAAAAGTTATTTTAGATAGGATTGTGGAAAAATGATGGACCCAAGCATTATTCAAAGTCAAAATATCGAAAATCTAGAAAACATCAAAAGTTTTAAAAACAACCAAAACTATAAAAAATAAACGGATATTATAAATAATATTAAAAATTGAAAGTTATTATTAATATTAAAAAACATTAAAAAATATCGAAAAATATCGAAAAATATTGAAAAATATCGAAAAATATCGAAAAATATCGAAAAATATCGAAAAATATCGAAAAATATCGAAAAATATCGAAAAATATCGAAAAATATCGAAAAATATCGAAAAATATCGAAAAATATCGAAAAATATCGAAAAATATCGAAAAATATCGAAAAATATCGAAAAATATCGAAAAATATCGAAAAATATCGAAAAATATCGAAAAATATCGAAAAATATCGAAAAATATCGAAAAATATCGAAAAATATCGAAAAATATCGAAAAATATCGAAAAATATCGAAAAATATCGAAAAATATCGAAAAATATCGAAAAATATCGAAAAATATCGAAAAATATCGAAAAATATCGAAAAATATCGAAAAATATCGAAAAATATCGAAAAATATCGAAAAATATCGAAAAATATCGAAAAATATCGAAAAATATCGAAAAATATCGAAAAATATCGAAAAATATCGAAAAATATCGAAAAATATCGAAAAATATCGAAAAATATCGAAAAATATCGAAAAATATCGAAAAATATCGAAAAATATCGAAAAATATCGAAAAATATCGAAAAATATCGAAAAATATCGAAAAATATCGAAAAATATCGAAAAATATCGAAAAATATCGAAAAATATCGAAAAATATCGAAAAATATCGAAAAATATCGAAAAATATCGAAAAATATCGAAAAATATCGAAAAATATCGAAAAATATCGAAAAATATTGAAAAATATCAAAACTACACTAGTGGAAAAAATTAAGGGATCAAAAAAATCTCGATTTTTGCGATTTTTCGATTGGTTGTATCTTTGGTAAAAATGGTCGTACGTGAATGAAAAAGCGATTTGAAGCTTGAAGTATTTAGTTTATGGATCTTGTAATAAAAAAAATGTCCCACCAACAATTAGCACAAAATCCTGATGAATATCATGGATAGAAAAACGCGATCCTTCAATTTCTTCAAAAATTCACTCGCATGAAACAATGAAACGGCTTGATGGATCAGGTTGAAATTTGGTAGGGCTTTCGGGAGAACAATGGCCTGTAAGATGCACACTCAACATTATTCATTTTCCCAATATTCTCAATGTGGCACGTGATTTTCTAAAAAACCTCAAAAAGACCTGTTTTCCGAAATTCTTCAAATTCATGCTAGGGATGAAAAAAAAATAATTTTCTTGTGAAAGAACATGCCAGAAACTTGTAGAGAATGAATCGAAGTTTCCGAAACCCCCCTTCCATTTTCTGAGCGGCCATTGGTTCCTGAGATATTGACGAGAGAAGAGGAAATTACGCATTTTCGTTCATTTTCTGATAACTCAGCAAAGAAGGGTCATCTCGAGGCCATCGAAAAAAAGAAGTTGAAGCTAACTAAACCACCTATCCAATACATATAGTGGTTATGTCGAGAAAATTTTTTTCTAGTCCGTACACTAAAAATTAAAAAAAAAATTTGAAAAATTTTCTGTCCATGATATTCATCACGATTTTGTGCTAATTGTTGGTTGGAAAATTTGTTCATCGCAAGATTCATAAACTAGACACTTCAAGCTTCAAATTGCTTTTTTTTTTTTTCATTCACGTACGACAATTTTTACCAAAGATACAGCCTCTCGAAAAATCGTAAAAATCGAGATTTTTTTTGATCACTTAATTTTTTCCACTAGTATATTGAAAATATTGATAAATATTGATAATTTTATTATCGACATTTTTAAAAAATACCGAATTTTATTAAAAATATCGAAAATTATTAAAAATATCGAAAATTATAAAAAATATCGAAAAATCATGATAAATGTCCTTACTTACCGAATATCTAATATCGACAACTATTATAAAAAATAACGAAACTTAATTTTTTCCACTAGTATATTAAAAATATTGATAAATATTGATAATTTTAATATCGACATTTTTAAAAAATATCGAATTTTATTGAAAATATCGACAATTATTATAAAAAATAACGAAACTTATGAAAAATATCGACGCTATAAAATATAGATGGCAAAACCTTTTTTATTTTATGCACTCTATATATCGGCAAAACTATAATATGCGAATATCTTCAACAGAATATGACATATTTTCAGTGTTTGGAAGTGGGCAAAATCGCTATCAACAAAAGATCGAATTTCGCTTATTTTTAAAGAAGATATACTAAAATTTGTGGTTATACTCGAAATTATTTAGCTAAAAATAAATAATAAATATTTATCACCAACAAATAATTATCAAAATCATTTTAAATAAATTTAAATTTTATTTATTTAGTTTTATTTTTATTTTTATTCAAATTGGTTCAGAAAAGTTAGGATAATTTAGTTTGTTTTTATTTCTTTATTTTGTGCACAACTGTCATAACTGTAAATTGACTTGGTTAGTGTAGGTTTTTAATTTCTTATCAATATTTCGTATTTTTTGCTAATTTAATAATTCGATATTTTGTGATTCGATTTGGTATATGATTCGTTTATCTGTTTTCGACTCTCACTTTAGATCTCTGATATTCTGTTAACGATGTAGTCATTATGATTCTACTAAAAATCATTCGGCGTAATCTCCTAATTTCTTCAATAATTATTGCTCTATAAGTCCCGTTGGTTAAATATAGAAAATAATATCTTACTGAATGGATTTTAAACATTAAAAAGACTAATATTGATAAAAGAACATCTTACCATAAAACACCATGTCCATCCAGCACTAGATAACTGCGGAAGCATTCAACTTGAAACTTGTTGCTCGCATTTCAGCTCACTTAAAGTTTATTGAAGCAATTATACAGTGAACTGACACGGAGCACGTACCACCTACAAAAATAAAAACAAAAATGATGTAGACAAACAAAATGACCGTCTCCAACTTTACGAAAGAAAATTATCGCCGGGGATCACTGAATTATTTCTCTCGACAAAAATAGTATGTGCGTGTCAATGTCAGGTGCGAGGTTGGTGTGAATCGTTTCGTTGCATTTTAAAATTAGATCATCTTCAGGATGGTGTTTTTTGAGTTAGGTTAGGTTTGTAAGGGTATTTTACCAGATGTTTCTTCAATCTGTCTACCGTATCTGTTTCATAAAATGTTATTTCCATATTTCATAAAATTCTGTATAAACTAAAATTATCTAATATATTTTTTAACCAATTAAGTTAATGGTTACGGGTATTTTGGCACGTTTTCACACTCAATGGGGTCTATTCTGTAACAATGGGCCCGTTCACTTTCATTTTTGAATGTGAAATAATTATATATTTATAAAGATATTAAACTCTTTTGTCTGGTGGTACTTTTTCCGTTAAGATATTTTTGCTAGAAGTAAGGGAATTCCCATAAAATTCTTTCAGTGACTCATTGCGTCAGAAAATCCCTAATTCCCTTCAGGTCTCGTATCGGTTAATAGTTAAAAGGGCGCGGTTGTCGGATGTATCATTGCACCATCATTCCTCTTCTGCATTTATTAAAGAAATTTACATGATAAAAATATATTATTATTTAAAAATAATGTGTTTATATTTTCAGATAAAGCTGGAAGCCCTACCTTTTTTAAATTTTAATAAAAACAATTAGTATTACTCAAGCGGAATATTACCGGATCGAAATTTTATTTGAGAAAATGTATCTGGTAAACGTGACAACGTTGTAAGTACTTCTAAATAGTGTTGTCTACACACACTTCTAGAAATAAATGCAACGTTGCCACGTTTACCAAATAAATATTGCAAATCAAATTTCTACTTTTTGATTATGGTCTGGTTAATTTTCAGTCTGAGTAACAATAATTGTTTTAATTAAAAAGTAAAAAATAAGCTCCCAGCTTTAAATCTGAAAATATAAGTTCATGATTTTTAGAAAAATAATGGAATTTTACTATTTAAATTACATATATAAATGCAGAAATGCTATATTAGGGATACAATGTGGTCTATTCTGTAACAATTCCTTTATATTTAACGGCCTTTAAAAATCTTTTCTTCTTTACTTCCGTCATTATTTAAACGGATCTTTAAAATACATTAGATGACTATCTTAAAGAAATCTGTTTAAATAGTGACAGAAGTAAATTAACAAATACGAACATATTTTTAAAGGCCGTTAAATATAAAGGAATTGTTACAGAATAGACCCTAATATTCTTGTATTTATTAACACGTTAAAAAACAGTTTTACTTGTAGTTTTTTCCGATATAAATTAAATGTTTATATCAACTAAACATTTTGCAACCTCCAGTTTGATTATAAATAGTTATGCTCCCATTTTACGGAAATAACTTTTATATTTGACACCCTGTATATGTGTTCATAGTTTTAAGTTTAAACCGTTTGGAAATGTTTAATTCCTTATTTTCAAAATAGAATTCCTTCACAAAAATAATTCAAAATAGATAAACCTGATGAATTGGGAGATTATTTACTATTTACTATTAGGTATCTCTCATCAAAAACGATATTTACCAATTCATTCTGTAAAATGTCCCAGACAAATTTACTTTTTTTTAATAATACTTATTGCATTCTGTACACATACTTGAAGTACATTCTCAGTATCTGCATAGCACGTATAAACAACGTCCCGTAAGATATACTGAGAATATGTATACTAAATGCAAATAAAGTATATTCTCAGCATATGCATATTCTTAAAAAGTGTATATTAAAAATAGGCTAAGAATGTATAATTATTATCTGGGAAAGCTCCTTCCTACATAATGTATAATTCCAAGAAATAACTGACAATGGTACAAAGATGGAAAGAAAAATGTTCACAAATTTCCGGCGAAGTCGAATTGTCTCCCAAAATAAAAATATTACCTGACTCTCAAAAAAATGACGGCCGAATTGTCTCCCGGATGATTTTAAGGTGGTAGAATTTGAAACTATAAAAGATGAAGACCTAAGATTTGGTAGACATTTTTTAAATAAATCAGAGCAGTTGCTGACGCTAATATCAATAATGCAAAAATTTAAAAAAACAAAAGTTTAAACAATTATAAAAAAAAAACATAATTTTTTACGGAGACAAGCAAATAGTCTATTAAAAACCAATTACAATTACGTTCAAATCAATTCTCAAATTGATGTAATGACGAAAAAAACTGAGAAATAAAATACAAGTCGAAATTTCAAATAATATGCGCGGTAAAACCATTGTCTACCTTCTTATCCGGTGATTTTAGCTCACGCATTCGTTTGAAGAGCGAGTCGACTTGTTCCCAACAAGGATTTCAAATATTCTATTCGGAATATAGTTTCAATCATTTAAAGCCAAACGGAAGACGAAATCTGTACCTATTCAAAAGTACCTGTAATTAAAATAACGGCAACATTGACAAATCACTTTGCACTCTGTATGAATTTGTGACTACATCGTATTTTAGATTTTCTTGTGTAATTAATTTAACCCGAGACGATTTCTGGGAAACCAAAACATCATAAACCTAGCGGTCGAGAAAAGGGTCGGGCAGTGAGTGCAGATACAACCCAGCGTCCGTGGGACAAATATAATATTTGAAATATTTGGATGGGCAGATTATCGAACACCGTTGAGGAATGCAGTCGATTTCTTTGTTAAGACTGTGTTATTCCATTTGTTTTAATAATTATTATTTTTGTAACGTTATTTTAATATTAAACTTCATACGCAAAATAAACATTTAATTATTTGTGTAGTTTACACTTGTTTTATTTCATTAAGCTGTAAAGTCATTTGGTATAATTTTCTTAACTGTTTAAAACAAATTAGAATTATTTTTAATTAGGATTAGGATTTGTATTTAAAGCGACTAACTTTTTTTAATATAAAATATCATTTGATCCATTTATAAAAATATTAATGACGTCATAGTTTCGTGAAATAGATAACACACTGCATAAATAGCTTAAATGGCATAAATGGATTTTTAAAGTCATTTGGTATAATTTTTCTAAAAATTAGAATTATTATTAATTAGGATTTACATTTAAAGGGACTAATTTTATTATTATAAAATATCAATTGTTCCATTTAAAAAAATATTACTGACGTCATAGTTTCGTGAAATAGATAACACGCTGTATAAATGGCTTTAAAAGAAGAATTTACTTACGACTCAAACAATAGCTGCTAGTGAGCAGGACTCATATCTAAGGGGGTTGCGAAATAGTCTTTCTTCCATCTTGGACGCTATTTTTACTCGAAATAGTAGTCGCCAACAATGTCACCTTATGAAAAATGTATAAGTACTTTTTTTAATAATATTTTAATTGTGTTCAACATAAAATATTTAAATTTAATCCCTTATTCATGATTTTACGGTTTGTAGATAGAATACATCGCATGTCGCAACTTTCTAAATATACCACCAACAAGTTCTTTTGTTTTGAATGCCTAAATCAGTATTAAGCTGCGTAAAGACCGTGTCAACGAATGCCAACAAAGGGGTTTCGTTGGCGCGGCATAGACGGTTTAGCGAATACCAACGAGGGTTCGCTGGCGTTTGCCGACTAGCGCAATCGTAGCGGTAACATAAAAGGAGTGGGCGACTCTAGCGAATGAAATGTGGACGGATGTCCATACGAGTATCATACCATAATGAACATTTAATCCGGATACATGTCCAAACGAACGTTTGATCGAGCAACAAATACATGTATATTGTATATTAACGACGCCCAAATTTGATTTAGTTAAAAAAATTAGCATAGTTACGATTATTTTCACAATTTTCATTTTTTTTATGTTCAGAAAAACTAAATGATTTTTTTTAGAAAAAGGTTTAAGCGTAACACAGATTTAACTTAACACGTACATAGGTATTTTTTTTCTTTTACAATTCATTGACAAATGTGAATACAAGACACATTGTGAACATCAGACAAATCTGAATAAAATATAAAAAATGATTACACCGAGAGCTGAATCCACACGACTTCTGATTTGAAAAGTCAACGCCTTATCCACAAACCACATTGGCTAGATGCATTTGTTTGCGAGACGGTATAATAACTATGTGAAAGCGAAAATAAAACGAGTTTAGTGGTTTGTGCAACAAGAGTTGATATGGACAATCCACTCAAAGTGTATAGTATATTTTTTCTACGACCTACTAACGAAAATCTACAAATTTAAAAAACTATTTTAGGTTTTTAAGACAAAATAACATTTTTTAAAATAATTTATAACTTTAACTAATTTATAAAATAAACATGAAAAAAAAGATTTAATTTAATTAGTCCCCAGCTGAGATTTGAACCCGAACCTCTCGCGTGGAAGACAAACGCCGTGTCCTCGCCTCTATTGCCACACTTAATATTTTAGTTTTAATACTTTTAATTAAATTATTTTTATATATCAGTTTAAGATTTATTTGTAAATGTAGACAAATTAACAAGAAATGCTATTATTTATCGATTCTACACAAGAATAACTCATTTTAACGTATATTTAATCTTAAAAACTAAAAGATATACTAATAATTACTACGAGTATGACAGAATTGTCACTCATGTCAAATTTAAAAAAATAATAGTAGCCGAGTGGCCAAAATATGAACTGTGATTGGTGGATATAATTTTTTTGCAGTGTTCATACTAGGTAAAATGGATATGAAATATATTCGTTAAGTTAAACGCAATGGCATAATTTTTCGTTCTGTAGTCTTTGCGTAGATAAGCTAATACTCATGTGGGTGTAGAAAAAAATGTATTCATACTTATTTTTTTACAGAATCTACAGAATGAATATGTAACTACATATCAGTCTATTAAACGAATAAAACGTTATATCTATTCTATAATGTGCATAATGTATGTCGGATCGATGGCGTAGGTGTCT